GACCAGTAATAATCCAGCCCTGCTTCAAGCCCTTCCCGAATCGCAATAAAACCAAACCGTCCAAGAATTATCCGAAGATGACATCCAAAAATCACTTGGCGTATTTTGGTCGCCTTATGATGACAACTTCATGTTCAAAGTTACCACATCAACAGAGAATCTAATAACAAAAAGGCACATTCCTATCAGAGATATCAAAAATTTTCGATCCCTTAGGATGGTTATCACCTATAGTCATCAAATCAAAAATACTCATACAAGACTTATGGCTACAAAGATTAGGATGGGATGAGAAAATAGAAGGTGAACTAGCAGACAGATGGATAACCTTTAGAAAGGACATGAATAAAGTCGAAGATATCAGAATTCCAAGATGGATGCAATTTAGCCAAGGAAACCTAATTCAACTCCACGGATTCTGTGACGCCTCTGAAAAGGCCTATGGAGCTGTCATCTACAGCCGAACACTGACGACTGAAGAGAATATAGTTGTCACACTTCTCTGGGCAAAATTAAAAGTAGCTCCAGTAAAACTAAGAACAACGTTACCGAGACTTGAACTCTGTGCAGCACACTTATTAGCGAAAATGATAAACCAAACTATTGCGACACTAGAGATAGAAAATATAGAAACTTTCGCATGGAGTGACTCCATGATAACATTAGGCTGGATAAAAGGCCAGCCCAATCGATGGAAAACATTTGTTGCCAATCGCGTGAGTGATATAAATAGACACGTAGACAGCAGCCACTGGAACCACGTAAAAACATCCGAAAATCCAGCAGACGTTATATCCAGAGGGTCTAATCCAGAACAATTAGCAAACAATCTCCTGTGGTGGAATGGACCAGCATGGCTTCATAGTCATGAACCACTACCATTAGCTAAAGAAATACCCGAAACGGACCAAGAAGCTAAGAAAACCATAAAATGTTTCCAAGTTAAAATACAAATCACAGAAAACATAATCGAACGATTCTCCGACTTAACCAAAATGATAAGAATATTAAGCTACTGTCGAAGAGTTTTTCACAGGTCCAACGAACCAATATTATCTGTCGAAGAAACAAGAAAAACGCTCCAAGAAGTTATCAAAGTAATCCAAAACTGCAAATTTCCATCCGAGATATCGTCCATTAACACAAAGAAAACCGTGGAGAAATCAAGCAAAATATTTAATCTAAGCCCATTTATTGACGGGGAACAAATCTTACGAGTTGGCGGAAGATTACAGAATTCAGGGTTACCATACAGTCAGAAACATCCTATAATACTACCAAGTCAAAATCATTTGAGCAAACTAATAATATTGGACGCACATCACAAAACCTTGCATGGCGGAAACCAAGCAACACTGGCTTACCTCAGAAGAAAATACTGGAATATCAATGGGAAGAAAAGTGTAAGAAGCATCTTGAGTAAATGTATTACATGCATCAGGTACAAAGCAAAAACCTCAGAGCAGCAAATGGGCCAATTACCTGCCACGAGGGTCACACCATCCCCACCGTTCATTAACAGTGGAGTAGACTATGCCGACCCTATTAAAATCAGAGCTACTAAAGGAAGAGGTCACAAGTCATATAAAGGCTATATCTCAGTTTTTGTATGTCTTTCCACCAAGGCAATACACCTAGAAGTAGTAAGCGATATGACGACTGATTCGTTTTTAGCAGCCTTCTGGAGATTTACTGCGAGAAGAGGTCACTGCGAAAATATTTACAATGACAATGGAACAAATTTTGTTGGGGCAGCACATTATTTTGAAGAAGAAGTTCTCAAATTAACTAAACACCAATCCCTGCAAAATACAATGGTCAACCCTGGCACTAACTGGCACTTCATCCCACCGGCGGCACCTCATTTTGGTGGACTGTGGGAAGCTAGAGTCAAGTCAATGAAACATCACCTCAAACGAGGAATTGGAGAAACAACGCTCACGTATGAAGAACTTACAACTTTGTTACACCAAATCGAAGCAAGCCTCAATTCTAGGCCACTCTCTGACGAAGTAGACGACTATTTCGTCCTAACTCCTGGTCATTTTTTAATTGGAAGGGGAATATTATCTCCAATTGACCCAATAGCAAGTAATATAAATTCCAGTTGGTCAGAGAAATGGAGGCTTACCCAAAAAATGAAAAAGGACTTCTGGAAAGTTTGGAGCACAGAATATTTAGGAAGATTGCTGCAAAAATATAAATGGCAAAATCAGGAATACCAACCTTAAGAAAGGAACCATGGTAATTATAAAAGAAAATACAATAAATCCCAGCCAATGGCCCCTAGCACGCATAACAGATGTTCATCCTGGAAGAGATGGCGTAGTAAGAGTAGTCACACTCAAGAAAGCCGACAGAGCTACATTGAAACGACCGATACATACATTGATCCCACTTCCATTAGAAGAAATGGGAGAAGAAACACTGACCATTCCCACTCGGGTTACAGCAAATATGGCCATTACCTCAAGCAGTCACAATATCAAAAGAGAATGCACTGTGAAGCAGCATGTGAAAACCAAGAAATCAAAAGTATCTTATTTTCAAATCATTCAACTATTTATGTTATGGTTCAGTTTGATGCTTCTCCCAAAATGTCAAAGCAGCTATGTTATAAAATATCCCGAAAGAGGTATTTACATCGAACATTTTGGAGCGGCACAAATAAATAGAGGAACATTTAGAATGGAAGTCACTTATAACAGAACAAAAATCAAGGAAGACATCCAGAATGTAACTAGCGTCGTAAACAATTTTGAGATGCTGTGTAACAAGACAAGACAACTATCGGAAGAAACGCACTGTGAAATATTGGACCATCATCTAAAAGAGCAACAACAACATTTTGGCTGGATATTTAAGACCCTGCAAGAGATACAACTTCGTCCAAAAAGAGGTTTATTGGGAAAATTTATGACGTCCGTTTTTGGCGTCAACGATGAGGTCTACGAGGATATAAATAATATAAACAAAAATCAAGAAATGTTGATAAAAGCTTCCAATCACCAGACACAATTCATGATCTCCGCACTATCAACATTCAATACTACCGAACAAAAAATAAATAACCAACTTCGCAGATTCCAAACAAGGCTTAATCAAGGATTAGAAGCAATTCAATCTATGAACAAATGGTTTTCAAGTATAGACATTAACAGCCTAAACATTCATGTCCTAAGCACTTATCAAATAGCAACTAACTACATTGCAGAAATAAGTTCATACTACGAGAATATGATAAATATCCAGTTTAACAGGGGAACAATCTATATCTCCAACGTATCTTCATACTCTGATAACGGATATCAACAGAAAACTACCGAACAACTTAAAAGCATTATCTACGCCTGTGATAAAAATGTCCCTATGTCAGAATAGCAGCCACTGCCAAGTTTTTGGCTATTTTCCCTTAATAGATATATCACAGTTTGATGTTATAAAAGCAACCCCAATTCCAGTACGAATATCCAACAACTCTTACTGGACATTAGATATATCGAACGATTATAACTCTCAGCTTTATTTTCAACTCCATAAAGAAGAATTCGAACGATGCTTGAAATTAAAACATCACATGTTTCTCTGTTCTCCAGATGTTATAAGAAACATTAATAACGACGGCAACTGTATTATTGATGAAATATACCATAAGCCTGAAGCCAAGAAATGCAAAACTTTCACAAATTCAGTGCAGGCTACTATATGGAAACAAATGGCCACGCCAAATACATGGTTATTTATTACGAATGGATAAGCCAATATAGCTATTATTTGTGGTGGAGTCCGGGAAGATGTTGACATTATTGCAACAGGAATTCTCAGCTTGGCTCCCGATTGTATTATAGAAACCAAACAGCTAACACTAACAGCAATACGAGTGGAGCATAGCAGTTTAACCAGCTATTCCAAAGCTGTCTCACTCGATAGACACGACGAACCCACACATATTCAACATTCACAACTCCGGCCAGCATCTGAGTCAGTAATTGGGCATTCAGATGATTTAACCTCACTTATGACAGAAGAGAAGTCAATTCAGATTGAACTACAAAATCCTATATGGAGAGATATACGACATCATTCTAGCATAGTTGGAGTGACAACTACCATTGCAACAATCGTGGTAGTTTTAGGTGTCTGGGTAGGCATCAAATATCTAAGAGAGAAAAAGACCACCAACAAACCTCAAGAGTATGAATTACAGTCCCTGAAGTCGACAAATTGAGAGGCGGCAGAATGTCCATTTATCCAAACTGGAACATTTAATCTTATATTTTTACCATACTGTACATATTAGAATTAATTAATTATAAGCAACCTACTTTTATTATTGGAAATGACGACAATCGATGTGTGCAACATCAGCATTTATTGTATATAAAAGGTGATCAATTTCATTAATAAAATCAGATTCAAACTTATTGTTGTTTCTCTTACTTAAATTGTGCCCAAATCACCATTGGCCTAGCAACGCTAGTAGAGTCGTGAGACTGCGCTCTAACAATTACTTTTCTTTAGCCTTATTGTAGCAGGTGCTCTGTCTGGTTATATTAGGCCCTTCTTTAAACCTGTAGCAAGTGCTTTGTCTGGTTACAGGTTTAACCCTTATAGCAAGTGCTTTGTCTGGCTTGGGTCCTTTTTCCAACTTACAACAAGTGCTCTAGTCTGGTTGTAAGTTACCTATCTTACGCCCTAGTGCAACTGCCGTGACTTTAAGTCCCTTCTGCTCTTCTATCCTAAACCATCAGGATCAAGCAGAAAATACCATCCAGAGAACTATAGTCTCCTGGAGCGTACAGTAGTCCTTTATAAGAATCGCTGATTTTTTAGCTTTCTATCTATAATTTCTATGAAAAAGGGCACTCAGAAAAATTAAAAAACTGATAAATCACTCCAAATTGCTTAACACAGATTGTAGGCCTCTAGTTGGCACCATGCATCGATATAGTGTGTTTTTAACTCATTATCGATATTAAATTGATAACTAAAACTCTGAATAAAATAACAATACCATTTATTCAGTCTTTTAGGAATATTTTATGGAACAAATTTTCTACACATAAAACAGTTTAAAAATTTAATCAAACAAAAAAGTTTTATAAAATGTTAAAATAATGACAAACAACAAATTTGAAAAAATAACAAACACAAATAAAACAAAATGAGCAAATCACTTAAATCTTACTTTTCAAATGTAAAAACATATCAAAACTCTTTATAACGTGAAAAGCAGGAATGTATATTTCTAAAACGAAAAAACCATAATTAGATTTTAAATTCTTATCGAAACAAGAAGTGACTCACCTAAATTAGCTTTAAGCTTCCTAACAGCTTCTCTGTTAACGTCATAAACATTAATATTATTCCTAAAAAGAAATAAATCCGATTAAAATTACTCATTTTCATAAACCAAAAACTTACCTTCTAGTTTTCTTTACAATATTATTTTTGGCTAAACTCATAAGACAATTTCCCAAAGTATCTAAAGTCAAGCAATAAGGGTGAATAAATATTTTGTTTTCCCTTAAGGCATTTTCTAATACACTTTGTACGTTAACTAATATGGTTTTTTCATCAACCATTTCAGAAACAGTCTAAAATAATGTACAATTATTATAGAGTTTAATTTATTTGTTTTTTTCTTTTACCTCCAAGACCACTGTAACAACATAATAACTCAAAAGAAACGGTTGCACGCTACTGATTAATACTTCTTCAAAATACTTATTTTCAAATACATCATAATATAGTCCGTTTTGATGAAGGGAAATTATTTTTTCCTGCTTCAGTTTCAGTAAAGCATCTTCAAAACGCTGAAAATAATTTTTTATCGATATTAGTGAAACATTTAAGAGAGAATCCACTCACCATTTTGAACCAACTTTCCAACAAGACAAATTCATAGGAAAAAATGGCTCGAAGAGTGCAGTAATGCTTGAATAGCTCATCTAATAAAAAAACAACGTTAATGAAATAAATAAAAACACTTTAGGTAACAAATTTTGCTGTAGAAGCTCAAGAAATGAGAAAAAAAAAAATCTAGAAAAAGTTGAAATTAGATAATTATTGAAAACATTTCTTAAATAATTGTTAATAAAGGAATTATATATATCAAAAGCCAACCTTTAATCATTTTCCCAAAACTTCTCAATACAATCACAATCAAAGCTGCATCAACAAAATAATGCAAAATCGGATTAGCATACAACTGTAACATTATAAATGGCACTGAATAGCTTATGGTATCCTCAGACAGTACATGGGCTTTTAATTTACTAGGATTAAGTTTGCCCACTGAAATTTTATTAGTCACTAAACCAATATTTCCATTTTCGTCACAATGCAATAATTTCTGTTGCACCTTCAAACACTCTCTTATAGCTTCACCAACATCTTTTTCAAATATAGTTGCGCCCCAACTTTGCAAAATTTGCTTCCACATTCCTATTTCAACCCCGAGCTGTTCAAATCCAGTATACTGTTGGCCTCTAGTTAAATTCTTGCTCAAAATAAGGGAAATAAGGTTTGTGTAAGTGACAACGGTGCATAGTTGTTGTCGACGGATAATTTCATAAGCCAAAGGCGGAATTAATTTTTTCTCTTCTTCACTTGTTTCGTGTAAATGAATCGACCCAAAACTATGCTGGGATTTGTGTTGGAAAAACGATCTCGTTGATATTGGCTCGCCAAAATTGAAGTAAATATTACCAAAACTCTCTTTGAGGATGGTTAGTGATTTGAAGAAGCCCTTAAATAACAATTGTTTGTATATTTACTATAATAAAATTTATAATTTTATTTAGACTTACAGATGTACTTTCTTTGGGTTTCGGTATTCCAAGTAGCTCAAAGGCAAAAAGGCTTTCTTCTAAAATTCTGTCATAGCTTACGTTGACAGGCACGAAGAGAATGTCAGGAACTTGGGATAGGAAGAATGATTTCAGAATCATATTGAATAGCCCTGGAAATTTACAAGATTTATGTTTTAACATAGTAATTTAGTGTAAATAAAAAATCAAAAATCACAAATAATTTTTTTATTAAATTACTACTAGTTTATTGAATTATTTTTATTCTATTTTCTAGAACACTCATCGATTATGGCAGCAATAACTTCAATTTCAACACTAGCCCCCATTGGTAGTTTTCCCACTTGAAATGTAGACCTCGCAGGAAAATCCTTGCAGAAAAACTCCTTGTAGGCCTCATTGACTTCAGCAAAATCGTTAATGTCATTAAGCATTATGGTACTCTTTATAACATTAGCATAATTAGTACCGGCAGCTTCCAAAATATGTCCGATCGATTTTAGAGCTTGTCTGGCTTGAGCCCCAGTACCGCCCGGTACTAGTTTCATGTTTTCGTCGACTCCCAGTACCCCGGACAGGAATACCATGTTATTGAAAGACACTGCTTGGTTGTAGGGGGAACCTCCCACGGGCCTGGGGGCTTTAGCCGCCAAAATAACTTTTCTCACTAATGAACCAGCCATTATTTAACACATACGATTTTGTTTGGTCACTATATTAATAATTTCTCGAGTACAAATTCCTTATGGGAATTGTTTGTTGATAATTCAAGTGCAAAGTTCAAGTAAACAAAAATTATTGAAAGTCAGATTAGATTGATTGACAATAGCAGGCATAAATAAACAATGATGATAATTAATTATTTATCGAATGTTGGAAAGGTTCTTACCATATTTCGGTACAATACTCTTATTGCTCCGGCTCCTGGTACCCTCAATAAAAAATTCCAAAGGCAGATCCCCCTTGCTGACCAGTTGGTTAACGTATTCCTTGAAAGCTGACCAATAGAGACTGTCGTCGTTATATGAGCGTCTCATGAAAAAAGCTCCAGTGTTCCGGAGCATTTCACCCATACCCATCATGCCTTGAAAATCTTTGGAAAAATATATTTTGTGAAAGTAATAGCAAGTTTTGTTAATAATTAATTGTTTTACCCATTCCTGCAGCGATTGCGGGTATTTCAATGTCATAGGCAAACATAACGTAGGAAAAAACGATGAAATCTGCATAGCTGCGGTGAGTGGGAACGAATACCACAGGGCATTTGCCCATTTGGGATTTAATCTGGAAGAAGAGTTTGATTTCACTAAATTTTTCTTTTTTTAGAGGCTTGCCTAGTTTTAGGACAAGGAAATAAACAAGATAAAAAACGATGGGTGATTTTTATCCATCAAGATACCAAATTTCATAAGAGCTTAGAATATACAATAGTTATGTAAGTACCTATGTACAGGGTGTTTTTTTTTTATATATATTGACACCCCACCTATAGCCTTTACCTTTATAGGTAGGAAAAAGGTGTACATACAAAAAAAAAAAGTTTTGGCTGAATTTTTAGAAACCATAGTCAAAAACAAAATCTGAATGTCAGAAATGTGAAATTTTGCATGCTTCCAGCTGAAGAGCACAATGCCCCGATTCCAAAAATATATAGTTTGTCTATATTTAATTGAATAGTCTCTCATATATTGGGCTCCAAAAATTGTAAAAATACTACCCTACTACTGATTTTGTGAACCATTCTACCTGTACAGGTGAAAGCTGCAGGTAAAATTTGAGGTACTTGGTTTCTCTAATAGTATTTTGAAAATTTTTAGAACCAAATATGTTGCAAACGGTTCAATGAAATATAGACAAACTATATGGTTTTGGAATCGGGAAAATGTACTCTTCAAGAATATAGAACCAAATGTAGAGCATCTCATTTGAAAAAAGCTTGCAAAGCATGCAACATTTCACATTTCTGACATCCAATTTTTGTTTCTGACCATGAATTCTAAAAATTCAGCCAATACTGTACAACTTTTGTATTTACACCTTTCATCTACCTGTAAAGGTGAAGGCTGTAGGTGGGGTGTCAATATATAAAAAAAAAAACACCCTATACTTGAACAATAACTTATTATATAAAGTCAAAATTTGTGAGATTATTCACTTTTTGTCAATTTGCCTTTCAACAGGAATTAGTAATGGTACTTTACCAAACTAGTAACATAATGTGACAAGTTAATCAAGTACAAACGAGTAGATTGTTGCGGAACTTCTGGGTGGACCTCTGCGGGAAGAGTGTAGCCAGTTCTGCAACTATTTTACCAATATGTTGTTCAAGTACAATAATAACTTGATTCTCCCAGTTATGAGTTTTTCTCATTAATTCAACTACACGTTTTAGGTGAATGTCTTACTTGAACAGTTCAACAGTATATTGGTGAGTAGATGACTGCGGAACTCGCTGCGTTCGTCCCGCAGAGGTCCAACTATAAGTTCCGCAATAATCCACTTATTTGTACAGGGTATTTTTTTATATATTTAACACCTCACCTACAGCCTTTACCTTTACAGGTAGAAGAAAAGTGTAAATACAAAAGTTGTACAGTTTTGGTTGAATTTTAAGAAACCATGGTCAGAAATAAAATTTAAATGTCAAGAGATCTGAAATTTTGCATGCTTCCAACTTTTTTCTAATGGGATGCCCTATATTTTATTCTATATTTTTGAAGAGCACAATGCCCCGATTCCAAAAATATATAGTTTGTCTATATGTGATTGAACAGTCTCTGATATATTCGGCTCCAAAAATCGTAAAAAAAAGTATCTTATTATCCATTCACAATCCGATGCCCACAGGTACAGGAAAAATTTATCACTTTTCAATGCTATTTGATAGGGAAAAGTGATAAATTTACCTGTACCTGTGGACATTGGATTGTGAATAGGATATTATCTGATATTATTGCATTATGCACTTGAAAGAAAAAAATAAAATGGTAAGTAAATAAGGTGATAAAGGTTGCCAACAACAAGAGCAAAGTACAATTTCTTATTTCAGTAAATAGAATTGCTGATAGAAAAATAGTATAGTTCTGTGGTATAGTCAATTAGAATATTTAAAATATATGTGGTCTAATCTAATACATATAGCAATAATGTGTATAATAATTCAATATTCATCGATTTATTGTAATATAGTAAAGTAGATTCCTCGGTAGATTCCTACATACAAAGAGAAAAATGTCATCTAGGCTACACAATAAATGAATAAAAAAAAACTCAAGAAGTCAGAAAGAAAATCAGTTTTCTTTATTAATTGATAATATCAGTGTCTGATCTGATATGAAAGAATGTTCAAACATGTATTACAAATCTGAAAAAACATAGGTATTTTTGGATGTGATACAAGTCAAAATCTTAACCTTTCAACCAGGTTTTTAAATGTTTCAATAGGTTTGTTCCATAGCAGCATTATGTAAGAATACATTATCAATTATACCTATGCATAATAATTCACAAAAAATCTCGCAAAAAATATTTATAGGGTACCTAATCAGAATTTTGAAGACGTAGGACCACATCCTGAAGAACCTGACAGAAAAGTAGCTGCCCCTTTACCATCGGAATTTTGTTTTAAAAATCTACTTATTTCACTCACAATCCTTAGATTTTTGTACTGTATACAGCAAGGTATATAGTGTGTTCAAGACGGGGGGCGGTCAACTTCCTCAAAATGTGTACACCGATTTAAAATCACTCTTGATTTTAACTAATTTAACAGATTTGATCAGATTTAAGAGATTTTTATTCAAACCTTAACTGATTTAAGGTAATTTAATCATTTATTGGATCACTTAAAAAGATTTAAGCTGATTTAGGAAGATTTAACCTGATTTAGGAAGATTTAACCTGATTTAAGAAGATTTAAATGGATTTAAGATTTTTTTAATGACTTGAACTGATTTAACTTGGGATGATTCAAGGTAAATAATTTAATCCTGAGAAGATAAAATGTACTTATCTAATAACCAGATATTTTAGTGCTAATAGGTACACTCGCTCTCATAAAAGTCCAATTTAAAAGTTTGTGTGGCTTTTGCGGGCCAGGTTTATTGATAAGGTGTTTTCATTTTAGGAAGAAATTCCAACTTACGATGGCCATTAAGCCTGAATTAGAACACCTTATCAGTTCTAAAAGTGCCACCAAAGTCAGCTAGTCTTGGTACCTCGCTTGGTACACAATGTAATTAATTAATTAAAACTTGAATTTGAATTCACAAAAAACTTGAAGCGAGACTTGAAAAAACACACATGTGCAAGTCGCAAACGAATATAAGCAATTGCACCTCGAGGTTTGTCAAGTTGGAGTCGCCCAAAGTTTACGCGGGATTTTAACCGTTTTTTTATCGATTTGAAATGATTTATTTATTTATTTTTTATTTATTGATACATCTTCACTATTCTTCACAAACACCATAAAGGTAATTACAAGCAAAGGTAAAATCGAGGGCAAAAGAACAAAGAGAGTAGAAAAAACAATAAACAAGAACTTACAACTAATATAAAAGACACATACAATAAATAGATAAAATTCTTCTAATTCTAACAAGGAAACATTACACAATCACACATTAAGATATTAAACCAATTAACTGAGAGAGGCTAGTGTTGAATATATCAAATGGCTTTTCACTGTATACGATATTGCACTGTTCCATCATTTTATTTAGAGGAGACAGTTTATACTGACTAGTTTTAAAAATATCTATGCTAAGAATCCTTAAGTTAATTTTAGGTACCCTAAAATCCATAAAATTTATAAAATTACAATGTTTGTACTTTATATTATTGACTATACAGTATATGAATATCACAGCTTGTTCATTTCTTCTTTGTACAAGGGATTTTATATGGAAACTGTTTAGCATTGCTCCATATGATACCAAAAACGGGTACACTCCATTTTGCCTAACATACAGAAATGGAGATTTATGAAGATTTAAAAGGATTTGAAGAGATTTAACGAGATATAGAAAGATTTAGGGGATTTATACAGATTTAACTAGATTTAAAAAGATTTAAAGGGATTTTAAGAGATTTAAGAAAATTTAAATTGATCTAACCTGATTTAACATGATTTGATATGATTTATGAAAAAACTAAGGTGATTTAGGGAAATTTATTTAGGGATTTAAATTGTTCCGGATCTCAGATTTTTAGGGATTTAATTAATTTAAAAGGATTTGAGAGGGATTTAAAAAGATTTGAAGGGATTTAAAGAGATTTAAAGGGATTTAAAGGTATTTAAAGGTATTTGACCTCATTTAATCTGATTTAGAGCAAAACAAGATGATTTATGTGATTTAATAAGGGATTTAAACTGATTGTCCATTTGTACACCGATTTAACAGAATTAACCGCCTCCCGGTTCAAGATAAGGCACGAGGGGTGTCTCACGATTGGAAATAGGTGTACAAACAAATCTCAAAATAATTTCCGGAAATGTTGAGAAATTACAGAAATTTCCTGTAAATTGTCACAAATTATATTGATTCTCAGAAATATCAGGAACTGTTAGGAAATTATTCGAAATATTGGGAAATTTTTCGAAATTATAGAAAATTTATTGAAATTATTATAGGAAATTAGGAAATTTTCACCAGAAATCTTTGAGAATTTTTGTGTATCGCATATTGTTAAGTTCCTGTTCCATATTTTGTGAATAAAAATACCTCACTGCTAACAAAATAAAGGTAAGTAAGAAGTAGGTAGGTTCCTATGTATAAACAAATCGCATAAACTATAGATCTGATAAACTGTCAGGTAATCCAATCTTACGGATAAAACGCAATTTTTAATCCCATTGGTTGGCTAGTTATTCCTTGACCAATCCAATAAGATTATGAAATGGGTAAATTTATCTTATAGATAGTTACCAGCAAGTTTATCTGAAGATGAATAAACCAAGCCTATGCAAAATAAAAATTTAAAAAAATAAACTTATCACCAGCAATTATGAGGATTTTCAGGGAATTTGTAAGAGGCATTTGTGGGGAATTTGAGAGGAGTTTGCAGGAATTTGTGGGAATTTGCAGGGAACTTAAAGGAATTTGGAGGAATTTTGGGAGAAAATGCGTAGAAAATTCCCCTTTGAGGAATTGTTTGCGCAAATTCTGGGGAGGTGGTTAACCCCTTGATAGAAGTATCACAGTACATGTATATCAGGATTTTTATTTTTTGAATTTGAATTTGAATAAACACTAAAATCGAGGGGGTAACATCTTCTTAAATTT